TCTTTCTTTTTCCCACATTAATGCACCGCCTGAGCAAAACCACCCTAATTTTCAGCAGTGCTGAGCAAATGCCCCTCTGATTCATTTCACTGGCAGTTAAGAAATCTTGCCAACTCTGAAAATCAAATACTGCTTAAATTTACAGCTCCTCTATTTCAAAGTATCTCTTCCAGTCTCCACCCATTTAAACGGAGAAATGAGAAGCCAAGGGCACACAGTGATCTGGGTAGTTAATGATGTTTTTGGCAATGTAACAAATCAATGAAATGCTTGGGAATAATGGCATCAGCTTGGATTTAACAGTTTCACAACAGTGTCACTTTCCAAAAAACGGATTTTTCCTCATGCGTTTCTTTATGTACCACTTGTGGCAGATCACAGTTGTGTTCCCTCCCACACCTCCGTTTTAATTTCTGTTATACATCTGAGCAGGCAAGCAGACTGGGCATGTTACTTACTGCCCTGTTTTCAAAGGTGTAGAAATCCTACCTCATGTCTCAGATTTGCTGGACATGTGGCATGAGGTGATTGTTGCCCTTCTTGCCTTGGAGAAAGAGAAAGGAAGAAGAGAGATCAATTCCAGATTTGCTTGAGTGGGTCACATCATCATTACCACACGATGTCAAATGTTTTTAGTGAATGGAAACTGCAGACTACCTAATCCCTCTGGGACAGTCGCACTGAGCTTATCATTGTAAATAGGAACAGATTCTCCTTTCCCTTGTGACCTCCAATTAGCATCTCTCTGACTACTCCCATGTATTTCTAGCCCTGGGAGTGACTGTGCCTGTGTTTGGAGCCTTCCCGCACCTGCCCTGAGAAGCGGCAGCTTTGTCTTCCATGTCCTCTGTGCGGGGTGGCTGTCTGGCAGCAAAGTTTTATTATTTGCCCATCTGTGAGACTGCTGTCTTGGGCATTTCAGCATCTTTATGGACCTGTCTTTCAGGACCTTCTGCTTCCTCTCGTTACTTATTTATTGCATTTAGCTGCTTATTTGGCTGACAGTGCACTGTCCGTCCTTGTATACCTTATACCCTCCGATGCGCCCCATACATTTTAAAGACAATTTTATTAAAAAAATAAAAGTAGGTGTGTTAAATAACGATTTGTCTGGCAGAGACCTCAAAGGAAGATTTAGCTGAGCTACAGTGTGAGCTTGATGCTGTTGTGGAAGCTGAGGCAGTATTTAGTTTTCCTTCTGCAACGTAATTTGTTGCAGCATACCCAAACAATTGCCATTGAGATGCTGGGCAAGCAAACAATGAAGGGAAAGCAATCCACCAGCAATTTAACACTTTCTGATCTCCATACACTCATCCAGGTGTGTAATGCTGGCATATTGGTTGACACCGTGAGTTTAATGCAAGCACGTATTTAAGGGGTCACTGTTTTGTTCTCTGATCTTCAGTGAAACACAGCTGAAATAACACGCAGGGACTTCTGGGCTGCTAGAAGTTTTACACAGAACCTACTGCAGAGTCCTTTTCCTCTGGAGATGGATGATCTACAATGACTATCTATTTCTTTCCCTGGTATTACTAATGTGAAGTGTATATTGAGTGTTGCTTTGTGAGAAATCCTTTGATACTTTTGTTAAACATTGTCCTTTGCTAAAGCTTTATCTCTAGCAACAAATCTGGTGTGTTTTGTACAGACGAAATAAGCGATAAAGCAGCTTATTCTGTTAAAGGAGACCATTCACATTTAAAATGAGATTATTCTTTACAAGAAACGCGGCTTATCTGTCCTAGGGAGAGGTTCCTTCCTCTCCTCAGATATCGCCCTGAAAAGCACAACAAAGAAGCATCTCTTCGGAGATCTTCCTAAGGCAGCGGCTACCAAACCATAAGAAATTCCCCAGAGCTGCCATCTCAGCGCTTCTCACAGCTGCGCCATCAGTTCCAGGGCCGTGCCCGGAAGGCTCTGAAAAGCCCCATCCCCTTGGGTATGCTGTCCTGATTCAACCCAGGGCACTGCCCGGGTGAGAGGTGCTAACAGAAAAGTCACCTAGAACGGTGGGTATTATCCACCATTGCTTCTTCATGGTGGCAGCAAGGTACAAAAAGTTCGGGGAACTTCAGGGATGACAGGCTAAAGGACTGAGGCGCAGGCAGCGTCCTCCCATCCCCTTCCACCAGCAGGGAACAACACTAAAAGGCACAGCTGAACGGACTGCGGCTCAGAGGCTGCTGCCACGGGGAGACGGGGCTTCTCTGTCACGGGATCGACCTTCACAACCCCGGGCCTGCCGGGCGCGATCCTTCTCGGAGGGCAGGGCCCGCCCGCAGCCAGCCGGGCGCAGCTCGCGGCCACTGCGGCGCCAGGAGGGGCAGCGCAGAGGCTCGAGCCGCACCGCCATGGCGGCGGAGGGGCGGCCCGGCCGTAGGGCGGCAGTTCCAGAGCCGGAGGGACGGTTAGGCCCCGCCAGAGGGAGCCGGAGACCGCCGGCCCGCGGCTGAGGTAAGGAGAGGCCGCCGTGCGAAGGAGGCGGTGGCGGAGTCCCGAGCGCTGGCAGCCCGTCCCTGAGGGCTGCCGTGGGGTTCCGGGATCCCTAATGAAGCTGCGACGGTCAGTTCAAGCAGCTGCTCTGTGGCTCGCAATCCCTAATTTGTATCATTCGATCTGATAGTAACTCTGTGGTCATCGTGCTTATCTACGAGACGCCCTGCGAGGCGCTGTTTTCCCGGCTCGCCCAGTCGCGCTGCGGTAACTCGCTGCGTAATTCCTGGGTACGGCGCTGTGCCGGAGCTGCTGAGGCGCTCTCGTTTGTGCCAGGATGGAGCGCGGGCCTCGCTCCCCCCTGCATCCACACTGCAGCCCTACCCGACATCTCCTCAGAGGTTCGAATGCCACAGGTGTTTGCTGCTTCTGTTCTAAGCTTGCAACTTTTTTTTTTTAATTGCTGTGTTTACCTTCAGGTGCTTGTTAATTTTTGAGGAAGGTCAGTGTAGCTTCATTATGTTGGTTTCTGAGGGCTAGATACCAAAAATAACTCAGCACAGTGAAGTGTGGCACTGTTAAACGCCAGAGAACGTTAATTGCAGCTGTCCTTGGAGCTGCATCTGAAACCTGGATCAAACCCAGCTTGCACTTGAGTGAGGTGTAGGAAGAGCTAGGTGTGTCAGTAGGACTGCCAGGCAGAGTTCTGAGCAGGGCACAGAACTCTAGGAGGTCACATTTCTTCTCTGAAAGGGGTAGTGAGGCATTGGAACAGGCTGCCCAGGGAGGTGGTGCAGTCACCATCTTTGGAGGTGTTCAAAAACTGTGTGGATGTGACTCTGAGGGACATGGTCAGTGGGCATGGCAGGGATGGGTTGGTGGTTGGACCAGATCGTCTTAGAGGTCTTTTTCCAACCATAACAATTTTATGAAAGGTATGTCATCCGTCCTCACTGGAGTTTTGAGTGTTTAATTCAGAAAGTTGCCTCCAGACTCCTGGGATACTGGCTGGATGAAATTCCTTGTTGAGCAGACGTGCCTACAAACAAAAGTGAGCTCTTATTCTTTCCTTTACATATCCTCATCATAGGAGAGGAGATGGAGGTGTCGCCTTGGTATATAACACCTTGCTAGAGAAACTGTGCAGAAAGTGAGTGATTGCTTGCTTTGCAGTGTTGTGATTCCAAAGTCACATCTCTCTCCTTTCCTAGAAGTAAGCCTGCAGCTTACTGGGGGAGAGCTGGAGTGCTTGTTACCTCTGTCACTATGCAGAAAATAACATATGGGAAAGGGAAATTTGGCTCCCGCATGAGCAGCTTCAATCGCTTGTGAGCCCAGAGCTCTGATCCCTGCCTCAGAGACTACACAGTTGTTATAGCCATTAGTAATGGTCCTTTGGGAAATGCTCAGAACCAAATGCTGCCTTCCCCAGGTGCATGTTTCAAGTCTTCACGTGTTCTATTAAAGGAGACTGTTAAATCAACAGGCAACAGCTGAGTGAAGGCTTTTCCTATTTGGGATCTCAGTACTTTACTGATGCCTAAGACTGCTCCTTTAAAAAAAAAAAAAAAAAAAAAAGACAAGCAGAGAAATTATGATGTGATCATCTTTTTCTGTATATTCTATAAACTTAAATATTTCTGTATGCATCTAAATGGCATGAATAATATATGTATGTATATCTATTCAGAAACACAAATGACTGCTTTGGAAATAAGCAAAAAAAAAAAAAAACCCAAACCCAATGTTTTAGTGTCTAAATTCACACCAGTATGTGTAAGTACTGTGAAAATGTCAGGATGGAGATTTCAAAGCTAATGAAAAAAACTGTGTCAGCACACATATGTACTAGTCGTGCAGATGAAAGGTACAGAAAGAGCTTCTGAAGTGGAATTTACATACATTAGCTTTGTAATTGTATGCACACCAGGCAATTATACAAGAGTTAATAAAATAGTAGTAATGATTTGTACCAGGTAATTGAAATTTATGAAGCAGTTTTGGTGTCTCTAATAAAGCTGTGATGGCCTCAAGTAGAGATAATGAGTATGACAGAAGTGACTAGCATGAATAAATGCAATTAGTGCTGCATTTGTCTAACAAAAATAATAAAATATTTTTTTAAGTGTCAGAATGTTAGTATCATCATTATATAAATGGGAAACTGAGGTGGGAATGTAAATCATGCTTCAGTTTGCTTTGCAACTGAATACAAAAGACAGAAGTGGGATGCTGCAGTCTTCCATGGCAACACCTTTTCTCCTACTTAGTAAAGTGTTGGCTGTTACTACAAGCAATGGGTAAAGTGACTTGAAAACCTAATGCACGTTTCTGCAGGGGCTGCTGGTGTGTTTCAGCATTACTTCTACCCTGGTGGTGTGCTCCCCAAAATGCTGTTGTGTTTTTCAATTTGAATTCTTTCCCTGTGTTTGCACTGCTTGAACTGTAACTATTATTTAAGTGTTGAGTACTGTCTGAAGCTGTTAGCACAGAAGCAAGCTCATGTCTGGGATGCTGGTATCTCTGTGCCTTTGAGGTGTGTGACGAAAGGAAGAAGGGAGATGTGTGAATGTAGCAGTGTGTTTGAGCAGGGCTTGCTTTTCTAAGTCCTGTTTCTATGCATAGGGTTTACATTAAGGTTAATTTTGTGTTTTGTATACCACAGGATATATTTCCAAGGTGACAGCAAGTGCTTTTCCTTAGCAGAAAATTCTGTGTAATTTACAAATAAGGTAATTGCCATCCAATTGGAAAGGTCTTTGCTTTCTGTGTTCTGTGGGGCTTTCAGTTGGACAGAGCATTGAGACCTTTGTGCTGGGAAGGCCTCGCTTCTCTTTATGTTCTTGTTGTATTGCAATATTGGTCTTTTAAAGAAAGTGTGTTCGCTTTGGGGTAGAATGAAACAGCATGGAATAGGTTCTTTCAGCACTGCCATCAGTCACACAGCTTTCTCATGCTTCAGAAAAGCCCTGGATTGTAGTGGTCTGGATGCTAGCAGCCAGAATTGTTGGTTCAGAGTTATTTGGAAGGATGCAATTAGGAGGGATGGGAAAATTCCAGGAGTAAGGCAGTAGAAGTAGTGGCAAACAAGTCAATTTGGTCAGTGTCGAGTAAGGACTGTGGGCAGCACAGAGGTTGGAAGTCAGATTGGAAGGAGTGAAGTACTGGTGAGAAGGCATGAGAAAGGGGGAAGGCTTGCAGAAAAAGTGTTTTTGCATGGGCACAAGCAATTATGGTCTCTTCCCACTTGTTTTGCTTTTAATAAACATCCTGATCCCTGCACTGTATGCTCTCTGGGCAGCATGTCACTTAATTATTTTTCATTGGATGGAAAAGCTGTAATTCCACTAAATTAAAAATAGAGCTGTAAATGGGCTTGGTTTGATCTCTGTGGCATCTGTAGCGGAGGAACAAGATTAATTTCAGCAATTAGATGTTAATTGATGTCTGAATATGTCTATTCCTAGAAACAGCAAGACCGCATATAGCATAACTAGCACCATTAAAACAGCATCGTCTCCCCTCTGTGCTTTGCAAGAACTGAGCTGGAGGGGGAGCTTGCCAGGGACGCTGGTAAATAGAGTGTTGGGGATGCTGCGAAAGGAACAGACGCTCGTGATGGGGAAGAGGAAGGGCAGCCTCTCTGAATGGTTAAGAGCTGGTGGTTAAATGCACAGAGCGTTACAGAAGAACTGTGCTTTTGTTTGTTAAACATAAATCCACTTTATTTTCATTTCATTGCTGGTCAAGTCTGCTCTAAGACTCACATCATAAGCAACTACAAAGGTTTATTACCTTTGATGAAATACCCGATGAAGAGAAAAAATATATATGTAGTTTTTCAAAGGCCAAAAAAATATACTAACAATTTTGATTAAATGGAATAAGAGGTCACTGAATCTGGTCTTTAACCTACTGTGTGTAACAGCTTCAGCTACATCCATTTCAATAATGAGATTCTGTTTCTGTGCTGCCTGTGCCTTATATATGAAGCACCATGCACTGTATATATTTCATTTTGTTTCCATTTTACAATACAGTAAAAATCTTTTTCAACCAGAATAGATGCTAGCCTTGGATACTGAAGTGCTGAATAGAACAATAAATCCTGTGCATCACTGGCCTGACTTTCATCCAGTAGTCTCAAAGAGCTTTATAAACATCAAGTAAGCTTTCCAGCATGCCGATCGCAACTGGGGAGAGTATTACTGCTGTTCTGCAGCTATTATTATTAATTTGTATCACCACATCACATTCAGAACTTTACTATGTACATAGTGAAAAGCTAAGTCCCATCCCAAAGACCTTTTGAACAATTGTAACGACAGAAAAATAGGATTGAGATGCAAGGGACTGGAGGAACACAGGATAACGGGACAAAGAAAATTAAATATATATGAAAGTGACCAGTGTTGGAACAGCGTGGTCTGCCCAGCCGTTGTCATCTATCTTCTGGGCAATGCAGCAGAGATGAGATGTGAGGAAATGTGTGCCTAAGGCGCTCTCGGAAAGGTTGTGTCAATATTAGGAGGAAAAAAATTGTAGGCTGGAGGTAGCTGAACTGTGGAGGAGTGAGGACCATCGCTTTATGCATGGTAGGAATCAAAATGGAACCAGTGGGTTGAGGAAAAGGGGAAGAAGAGTGGTCAGCTCCTAGCCTGTACAGAAACGTCAGCAGAGTGAACATGGATAGTGGGTGTTACTGCGGAATTTGCTCTGTCTGTGCTTTGGGTAATCTCAATGTGGTATTCCTTTTCCCAGACATCAGGGTGTTTGATTTCCTTTGGGTTTTTTGGAGCAGAAGAAGGGAAGTACTGAGATTGTACCACTGTGTGTGGAGCCCTGCACACAGCCTGATCACCTGAGGTCGGACAGTAAGTTGCAACATGTGCGGAGAGTGCAGTTCTGGTGATTCAGCAACTGAAGAGGCAATTTGAGGAAGCAGTGTCTGGCAGGTTTAGTGCAGTAATTGTTAAGTCTGGTGTGTCACTCAGGCTCACCCTTTCATTCTTTGTGGAGTC